CCTTACTTTATAATCTACAATTATGATGAAGATGATGGCAATTACGAGGAGGAAGATTAACAAATTATGATGCAAGCTGAGTAGAAAGATAATTACGATGATGATGGTTTTATATGTATTGAGTTATTGGTCGGTTCTCTACGATTGCCAACATTTAATGTGACTTGTGTATATGTAACAAAATAATTTTATAGCTAACTTCATTATTCTTAACGTTTTTTCCATTTATAGCATTATATGTTATATCTGTGCATGAGCTATATATAGATATAATTATATATATATTATATATATATATATATATATATATATATACGTATACAGTATTGTATGGATTCCCTATTGACGACTGTGCGCGTCAACAACATTTGTATATTGGCGTTACGACCACTTCACTACCAAGACACTTCACTCACAATGCATACACAAAGAGGAACCATCAAATCTCACTATCAACACATGTAACTCCAATAACCCGTCAAATACTTGACAACAACACAAAGATAATTTATCAAAACACCAACACAATACATCTAAAAATTGCAAAAGCTGTCCTAATAGGTATCAATAAACCCCAAATAAACATCCAACAAGGAATGATAACATCATTGCCAAGTCGACGCCTTAATGCTAACTTCAATAACAATGAGGGACAAAGAAATGACAACAACAAAGTAATCCACTTTGCTAAAGAACTCACTTTGCTTTGTTTAAAGTAACTATATAAACCAAATCGCATTGAAGATGAGAAAAATCGAAATAAGGCCTATCTGCGCGGTGAATTTGGTTTATTGAATTTTCATGATGAACTTGGATAATAATTCTATTTTCAATAAATTGAACAATTTCCAGAAAATTTTAGTAAGGAAAATTGAAAGGACAAACTTTAAATTGATTAATGCCAACAATTTGGCAAAATTCATACAATACTGTATAATATATTTATAGCGCAAGATATTGTTTGTTTATGTGTGTAGTTTGTGTAAATTATGTTGTAAGAACGATAAACTGTAACCTTTTGAGTTCGAATAGAGGAATATTATTGAGACAGTTCCTATCTATGTTGAAACATTTGATTGCCGTTGGTCGTTTATTTTCATTGTGCGCTAAATAAAACGAGACAAATATTTTGTTCTTCTCTCTGTTACTGTCTGGCATCGTTAATGTTGTTGGACTCTGGTATAATGTACCGTTCGTAATGTTTTTGATATGTTGCATTCTGTATTTTTTATTTTAATAAAACAAACAAATTTTTCTTTGTGACGTTTTATTTCTCAAAAATTAAAAAAGAGATAAAAAATGATCATATATGCGTATGCATGGCGAAATGAAATTGGTCCTGTTTTTGGTTGTGGAATTTAAAACTTATCAGTGTTTATTAAGCTATTGCATAAAATGTAGAATTGATGGCTCTTGCTTCTACGTGTTCACCTATTTTTAAATAATGGTTTCAAATCTCGCCTATGTAGTGACCAATGATTCTATTCACCGTGTTAAGGTTGGATAGGTGAAGTTAATAAGACCACATATATAATTGATGATTTAGCGATCGATTGGCAAGCCAACTTGATTGGAACGAGATGGTGATTGATTGTCAATCGGTCAAAATATCGTAATAGTCAAGCAAAATGCTATTTTGAAGCCTCAGTCGTGACTTCAATAAACTAAAGTTGAAGGAATTGATCTAAGCTCCTGAGAGAAGTTGGTTCGTTTGTTTTTGCACAATGACTGGATCCCATAATTTTATTCCTTCGCTCTCGCGTTTGTGCCGAACCTCATGGTACTGTTTGATAATGGTTCGTTTCAAAACCTTCGACAATTGGTACGCTATTCATTTGATATTAGGTCTGAAAGGCACAAATGCCAATATTGTCAGCATCTGCTAAAGTACACCGCGTGTTTCTTGAACGGAAAATAGCCTAAAATCGTGTGAATTCAAATTGTCAACATTTGTTTCCAGAAATTAAAAATATCAATGAAGATACCCACTAAAAAATATGAGAACATTTTGTAGCATGTGTTAAATAATATATTGCATTGTGAGAAGCAATGCAAGAACTTTATGTCAAGTTGTTTTTGCTCAACACAAAACTTTTCAGAACTATTTATTTAGCCTTTCAAAGTTTGCAGATGCGTCACAGAAGACGATGAAGAAGGCGGCGCCGATGATGATGATAACGATGTTGGTGATGATGAAGATAATATTGGCGATGAAGATGATGTTGGTGCTGATGAGGATGATGAAGACTGTCGATGATGATGAAGTCTAAGCTGTTGAAGATGGACACGATGTCGATGATGATGACGGTGACGCCAATAATGACGCCAATAACGATGAATTACAATGCCGATGATGATTATGATGACAATGTCGTTGTTGATGAAACCGTTGTCAAAGGTGATGTGATGACGGTGATGCCAATAATGGTGAAGGAGACAACAACAACGATAAATAACAATATCGGCGATGACGAAGGAGGCCATATGATAATGTTGATGACGATGCAGACGATGATGATGTTGATGCCAATGATAATGATGGCAATGTCAATAGTGATGAAGGCGATAAATGTGATTGTATTTATAAAAAATGATTGGGTGCTAAAAATTCAATTTCGGAAGGCGAATCAAATGAACCTTATGATGAAAATTATTAATAATGCATGAAGTCGATTTGTCTTAAAATGATAAATTTTTGAATCGACAGGCAAACTGAATATCGGAAAATTTTCAAAATATTTAAAATTGGTAAACAAGTCTGATAATCAAGCGGACAAATCACATAATTGAAAGAAAATTAAAAAGAAAATGTATTTTGAGGGAATGCGCCAATGCAAGACGTGTATAAAATAAACTTACAAGACGTATATCAAATAAATTTACAATAACAGCGACAACCAACCACACGACGATAATAAAATGACTCCATGACAATTATATGGCAATAGCAAGAAAATCATCAAAAGAAGAAAATAAAAAAATTAACTCCAATACAAAAAATTGAAAAAAATTATTTTCATTTCTAACGACACTAAATTCTTCATTACCTAATAAACATATTTAAATACTATTTGATGAGAAAGCTTAACTGATCAAACACAAGTCTCTGGTGTCAAGCGAACTCCTTTAACGGTCTTTGTGATGTTTGATAGACGTTCAGCTGACTGATGTGCTTGTTGTTGTTGTTGCTGCTGCTGCTGAATAGGAGGAAAAATTCTAGCACTTCGATAGTGTTGTTGTTGCTGCTGTTGTTGTGACTGTTGTTGTTTATGGTGATGGTCCAATTCACTGTCAAGGGAATAATTTTTTTTGTTCTTATTTTTTCCATTTGTTGTTGATGTTGGGTGTTGTTTACGACTCTCGATGGCTGACACAATGGAGCCAGATCTTTCTTTCAAGTCATCAGTGCGAAACTGTTGCAAAAAATGTTGTTGTTGTTGTTGTTGCTGTGGTTTTGGTTGAAGATGTTGCTGTGGGTGATATTGTTGATAATGAACAAACTGTTTTTGTTGTTGATGAATCTGCTGAACAAGTAGCGGCTGGTGCTGGTAGCTTTGTTTATGTTGCTGTTTTGGTTGCTGCTGCAAGTGAGGCTGTTGTTGTTGTTGTTGTTTTAGTTGTTGGTCTTTTGAGTCTCTTCTAACAGTTCTTGCCAATTTGTTAAAAAGAGTGTCTGCCAAGCTGTCTTTTTTGCCTTTCCGTTTGTATTCTTCGTCAAAGTTTAAATTTTTATGATGAACTAAATTTGGTTGTTGCTGTGACATTTTTCTTCCCACTGAAACCCCAGATAATGATGGTAAAGGTCCGGATGGGGTTGTACTTAACGCTGCCAGTGCCGAACCTGCCATGGAAGAATGACCTGGTCCCGGTCTGTTTGCATAATCAATGTCAAGAGACTTGCTTCGACCGAAAGGTTGTTTTGAAATGCTGGTGTGAGGACTGACACCGTACGCCAGAGATCTTGGTGTTGACACTCCTCGTCGTTTTGTAAAGCCAGGATGAATCAAGGGACAATGAGGTTGTTGATGAAAATAAGGGGTGTACGAAATATGTGAATGATATGCATCAATTGGATCTGAGGGGTTGTAGGGAGGCCGATACCCTTGTTGGGGGTGTTGTTGATGATGGTGATGCTGTTGCTGCTGCTGAAAATATGCTGGCTGATAACTGGACTGGTAAGCTCGGTTGAACCTGGTCATTAAAATTTGATTTTTAAAAAATCCGTTTATAATATATATATATATACATATATATATATATATATATACATATATATATATACATATATATATATATATATATATATATATATATATATACATACATACATACATACATATATATATATTAGATTAAGATTGTCTGAAATGCAATTATTGATGGAAATCACAGCATGTTCGGCGTTACTATTCCTCCTATTATCTTACCTGATTCTAAAACTCTTGATGTCACTCATAAGTTTCGTAGTCTAGGTTTTATCTTTGATTCTACTATGTCTCTCTCTTCTCAGATTAATAGTGTTGCTAGAAGCTCTTACTTTCATCTACGTAGAATAAAAAAACTTTTGCCTTTTCTTGATGATCCTACTCTTCTCCTTCTTGTTACTTCGTTAGTCTTATCTAGGATTGATTATTGTAACTCGCTCTACTATGGTCTTCCTGACTCTATACTCTATCCTTTAAGTAAAGCTTTTAACTCTGCTGCTCGTCTAGTTGCTCGTGCCCCTTTCTTTTCTCATATATCTCCATATCTTGTTCTCTTGCACTGGCTACCTATAAAATATAGAATAATTTTTAAAATTTGCACGTTCATGTATAAGTCTCAATCTAAATTATTTCCTAAGTACTTATCAGATATATTAATTGAACCTAAACGCCCCGGTTTACGATCGTCTTCTTCTTCTCGCTTTTTCTTAACTCGTGTTAAACACTCTTTTGCCAAATCTGCTTTTGCTTTTTCTGGTCCTTTTCTCTGGAACTCTCTACCTACTTCTCTAACTATTTCTCCATCACTTGCGAAGTTCAGAGCGGATCTCAAGATCCATCTGTTTTCAAAATTCATTGAGGAGCGCTGTTGAACATCGCGGAAATAGCGCTTTATAAGCTAATTGATTGATTGATTGATTGATTGTTAGTTAACTTCGAATTTAACATTGGTTTTTCTAACAGTTGAACAAAAGAAACTTGAAAAAGATTTACAATCAACTGTTAGAAAAATCGAAAAGTTAAATGGGAAGTTAACCACCGCCAAACATGCTGTGATTTTCATCAATAATATATATATGTATACATATACTCCAATAACAACAAAATCATTGATAGTAAAATTGAAAAACTTAGTTGTAAACTAAACAATGTGGAAATAGCATTGTGATATTCATTAAAGGTGAAGTTGGTCGATATGTCTCCCTTCAATTTGTTTTGGTTTAAAAGTGGCTATAGTTTCGCCCCATTTGTAAGTAAAATAAAAGTATAGACAAATTGATCTTTGTTAACTATCTTATAACTTTTTGGGCACATTTGATTTGCAGAATGCCGAATTACAACCTAATTAAAACGGTACAAATGAGGACGAGAAACTGAGAAAGCTGGAAGACCTGCCAAAAACTGGATGGGTGATAACATTGCGAAATGGACAGTGGAAACGTTGAGTTCATTGAAATTAGCCAATGGGAGAAAAAGGTTTTGGAGATCGACAAATCGATGGACGCGAATGGCCTCAAAAGTCTCTCAAGAAATATGATGATAATAAAAATTGTATAAAAAACTCCTAAATCTGCCTAGCATGATAAAATTTTTTCAGATGATGAACTCTTAAAAAATATTTCAACATTTACAATTTAGCGCACACACGCACGCACCCACACACTTTCTCACACACAAATACACACACTCTCACTCACACACACGCACGCACACATAACATCCACCACGCGCGCACACACATGCACATAAAAACTATGCATAAAATATATTGTTTACATATATATCACTCAACAGGGAATCTGTAACTGAAAAGTTTTTTGTGTGAAGCAACGTTAAAAAGGGTTGAAATTGAACTAACGCATCGACGATGTTGGAAGTGCTCGAGTATCCGTGGTAACTTGGTGCCGAGTAACTGGACGATAACATGACATCGGCAGTCGTAGTGGGAGATACGGCGTCTGGCGTTTTGGTGGCAAGGGGCGCGTAGAGGTGGTGTCTGCCGATGTAGTCAATGACTTGCTCTGGTAGCAGGTACTTTACCGATTGCTTCCGACGGATAGCGGTTCTAATTATAACGTGGATCATAATTATATATTGTTATATGTTGATAATATATTATTGTTAACATAACAAAAGCAATTAAATTATGGTTATAATGAAATGAACATTCAAACACAATTATGACTCCTGATGGGATGCTGCTGAAGTTGACAGGTCGTGGGGAACATAAGCGGATTATTTGTTGAACAGATTTAAACCATTGAGTCATATATCGATGATAAAAACAATGTCGAAATAATAAAAACTCTTGTTATCACAACTGACTTAGAAAGCAAAACATTTTATAACAAAAAATTCACTGCAAAAAAAACTGGAAATTCGTGAATATTCGTCTTATTGTGAAGAGAAGCTGTCAATATAAAAAAACACGAACACACATATTCACATACACACGTGCATTCACATACACAACAATTCAGTAGATCTCTAACTAGTGAGATGTCCTTCACAGGTGCCTGGCGTAACACGGTAACATCTAATGTAGCAGCCAGCATGAAAGACCTAACAACAAAAATTATGTCACTTACGAGTGACAATGGTGTTTATGCGTGAAGCACACTTGTGTTGTGAGTGAGTTGTGAGATTTTCCTGCTCTAAAGTCGTGCCACAGCTAAAGATCGTTGTTGAAAGAGGTTCATATTTATATTTTCAAATCGACGGTTAAAAGACGGAGGACAACAAGCGATAATGCGTTTTAAAAGCTGCTGAGACATTAATCTGAGATTTCAAGTCAAGTTTCCCTTTGAAATTGAAATGACTCTTGACGTTTGCTTTTAAGGAGCATTTTAGTGTTAAGTGAGCTTTTCTCAAATTCATGCTATACGCATACATGCATGCATACATACATACATGCAATACACACACACACATCAACACACACATCAACACACAATTAACATATGCATATGTATTGTATAATACACGTAAATGTAAAAAAGCATACATATAAAATTACACTAACACATAAACATGATACACACACAAACATTAACTCACATATAAGTACAATGTACATATGCAATTGGATATTAAGTAAAACTTTAAACAAATGAACAAATAAAATCAAATAAGAAAGCAAGAAATAACCCAGGATGATCTAAATTAGAAAATTTTTGGTTTGTATGGTTTTTCAACAGCATCAACGTGCTATGTCAAATATTTCTATCGTCTGCTGCATGAATCTGATGTTCACACGGAACATTCATTCTTATCCAACTTGTACATGCACAGGGATATGAATTCACGTACGTCGTAAAATAATTTGAAAAGTTAAAACAACAAACACGTCAAACAATTTTTTCGTATAAACTTTTAGTTTCATTTTTTGTTTCCACTTCTGATCCATCATCATCGTCGTCATTGTTTTCGGCGTCCTTCATACATAAATACCATCCAAGTCAAAATTTTATTAGCAAAATGTTGATAACAGCAGCAGTAGCAGAACATTGTTACAGAATGATTGTACACACAGAGAAGCGTCGCGTCCCACTAACTCGGTCTGATATTGTCTCAGTCTCCGCTCGTAAGCATCGGATAACCTTATGACCTTTTTTTTAGTTTAGTCATTTTATAACTCTTAGTCCCTTTTGTCTTAACCAAGAAAATCCTTTTTTCAATAATCTATTTTCTTTACATTTTATGCAGTGTTTTCTATCTTTTACTTTACGCTTTCTATCAATTATTTCCACTTTCATACCCTAGCCTATAAATCATCAATGCCTAGGAAAAGAAATTACCCCACCAAACAATAGGATGCACTAATATAGAGGCGAATTCAGTCTAAGGATGAACATTCAACAACAATTATTACTGAAATAATGCCATTAAAATTATAATATAAACAAATTATAAACAAATTATGAATAAAATACAAAAGCATTAATGTGCACAGACGTAATGAGACAAGAATATGATTAAACACTTCAAAAATTTACCTAAAATTGTAGTTAACAAAACGTAAAGAATACAACGACAACAAAGCAACAAATAACCTCAATAGAACAATAAAAGCAATAGAGAGAGAAAGAGAGAAAGAGAGAGAGAGAGAGAGAGAGAGAGAGGAGAGAGCGAGAAAAGGAGGAAAAAATGATGAGAGAAAAAAACTGCGTACGTACCTAATCCTCGTTGAAGACATATCATTTGCAATCCAATCAGGCACAATGTGGATGTTGTTCTGCGGTGTAACAATTCAATAACATTCACATTTCGTACAATAGCTATTGTCATTATTTACCAAAACAAAAAATAATAAATGATACTTGTATAAATATAAGCAAAATTGTTAAATAATTTGCAATTGAAATCATTAATAAATAGTGTTGATTATCATTGTAACTCGTCTTCATCGGATCATCAGTTTGATGAAGGTCTCTAATAATATAATAATGATAATTTAATAGTGCTTATATGATTCTAAAAAATAAGAAAAACAATAAAAACACCTTTTTGGCTAAATTATATACAACGACACGATGTTTCAAATAAGGACAGGGAAATTCTTCAATTTTTGTTTGCTGCTGAAATAACAGGCGGCAGGTATGTCGGTCGTTTGAAAAATTTCCGCTCATCTCAATGTGTTAATTTTTTAAATATTTTCTATTGAGAGTTTCAAAAACTAATCTTCAAAATGTTCAACAACACAGTTGGTCTTCACATCAACAATGTCTATTGATTAGAAACTTGTATCGTCTGTTCACTGAACAACATTCTTTTATTCTATTCATCGTATCATGCAATTTCGATAGTATTATAAATGTTAATATGTGTATGGATTAAATAGTAACGAATTGAATGCCATGCGCAAGTGGAGAGCTTAACCGGCCTTCAAATGTGAACAAATAATAAATAACAATGCAGCACAACAACACGCATTTGTACAAAGCCAAAAACACAGGTTACGACAAACAATGTACACAAGCCAGTAAGCATGCAACTAATTTCACAAATACAAGTAATTTTGAAATAAAACAACGTCTAAAATGTTAATTCTCTCTAATATTAAATGTGTCAGGTACTTATAAAAAAAATTGATTTGTTTCTAATTATTTATTTATAAAGTAAATTTTTTTAATTTATTCATTTATAAATTGAACAAAAAATTAGTGGAAATAGACACACAAGTGCATCTTCTGACATACTCTGTTTCTCATCTTGAAGAGCTTCCCGAACATACACACACACAGACACACACACAGAGACACACACACACACACACACACACACACACACATGCAGAAGCCGCTCTTTTGCAATAATTGAACAAGTGCCACAACATGACCATCGAAATAACGACAAACCATTTTGAAAATATACTGCTCAATAGATCAACTTCAATGAATACATTATTTCAATTGGCTACACGTCACATGTACATATGTTTAACAGTAGACTGCAGACACCAACACCGTGGCATGAGCTCATCACTAACTTTATCAAAATTATTATCGCCGTCACTTTCAATTTCTCAGTTGTACCTCAGTGAACATAAAATTTTATCTAAAATTCTGATTTTTGTCACAGCATTGTTTAGCATTGTTGCATTTTTATTTTTAATACCGACGTTGTTGACTGATATAAAAAATTGCTCAGATAACGACTTGCTTTTTTAACATAAATTAAAAAAATAAAATGGAAAACGAACGAGTTATATAAGACAACTATTCTGCAGCACTGTATATATATATATACGTGATAATAGATAACACAAATTCAGTTTTTGTAAAAGAAACCTAACAAGCATACGTAATTAGCCGCCAAAAATTTTTTGTGGTTTCATTCACGCTTCACAATTTTGAAACTTAATTTTTTGGTCTGTCACAAATAAAATAGTTAATCATACGTATGGAAAATAATTTCCTTTAAATAGTTATCACAGACGCAGACTGCACACAACGTAAAAAAAAATAAAATTGGCCAGTGGAAGCCAACACAGAAGCCTATATATATTGAATAAATAAATATGTTTATCCATGTTATATTGAATTAGCACAAGTGCTAGTAATAAATACGGCTCCAACTGAGAATGCGACGGTTCCGAATCCGGATCAGCGGATCCAGAGTTGAGAATCCACCATTTTACGGGTACAAAAACAACGTAAAGAACAAAAAATTTTGATCGACGGAAAAAGTGAATAAAAATATCAACAACGATTATGTAGATATACATACAATAATTAATAACTAATAGATATGCACATCCATTGATGTTTTCGCGATTTATTCAAAAAAACAAATTTATTTTTTATAAACTTTTTCATTTAAAACAGCATTTATGGTTTTAGGATTGTACGTAAATTGGATCCAGATTCGGATTCGTCCGGATTCATCATCAAGATTCGGATCCAGATATCACGAATCTCAAGTTCTTGGATTCACCCCATTCCTATGTAATTCTTGAATAATGGGAATTATTGAAATAAAACTACATAATATAAACATACAAAACCACACACACAAACAAATTTTTGAACCTTTTTATTTTTGTGTTTTTCATTTCTCGATCTTCATCGGAAACGAAGCAAGAATTTGAAATTTTGTTATCGATACATAGGTTGCATGGAATGGAATGAAAAAAGATAAAAGTTTGTCGTAGGCAAGGAATATTTTCCTAAATACGGCATCAGCTATCGAAAGTAGTTTGAAAAAGAACGTTCTCGGTGTCGATCGACCACAGGCACTCAAAATTTTAATACCGGTATATCGGTCTCGGAATAGAAAAATAAAATAAACGTCTGTTGGTATCTGAAAATTTCAAATGTTTATGAGAATTAATGATGCCTCGACTTCCAATATGTACAAACTTATAAACAAACTTATATACAAACAAACAGACCCACAAACAAACAAACAAACAAACAGACAGGCAAACAGACAGACAGTCAGACAAACAAGCAAGCAAGCAAGCAAACATACATACTGTTATAATACTCGCTGTCGTAACCGATTTACGATGCGACGGGTTCAAATCTTCGATCGAATAAAATACTCCAAACAGTTATTAGTTATTAAACTTTATTTACAGAAGAAATCAACTAATCGTTTATTTCTAGCAAATTCAAATTAACGCAACAATTAACTTTTAAATTGTTCAAAATCTATCGCTATGACAACGTCAACAAAACAAATCAACTATCGCTTTAAATAATTCACAGAATCGCTATTCACAAAATCACAGAGTCACGAATTTACAAAATCACGAATTTCACTAATCACAAATTTCTTGCGACGTGCGCTTATATACTCTTCGCAAGCGTCGTTTTTAGATTCTTCTAGATAGTCCGATTCTAGCATACTCTAGAATGCTCCAGTCACTAGAACATTCTAGAATACGCTAGAATCTAGTGCGTTCGGTAGCACGGTTATAACATTACCCCCTTCTTAGTTCTGTTCGTCCCGAACAGCTTTCGTTCCGGTGTCCGCATGGTATGGAGCCAGTCTATCCAAATCTTCATTCTTGCTCTCGGCTTCCGATATTCCTGGATACGGTAGACGACGTCATTCAAGCGGGTGATGACTTGATAAGGACCTTCCCACCCACGCTGGAGCTTTGGAGAATGTCCTTCCTTTCGCTGTGGGTTGTACATCCAAACTAACTCGTCGACAGCAAAACCGCCACTGCTTCCTTTCAAGTCGTATCTGGTTTTAGCCGCCTCCGTGTTTTTCATAATTTTAAGGCGTACGTAACGGTGGATATGGTTTAATCGCTGTCGAAGGTTATCCACGTATTCTGTTAATGGTTGGTGTGGTTCAGGTGCTACGCCATATTTCACATCAGCTGGAGTTCTTAAGGTAGTCCCAAACAGAACTTTTGATGGCGTTTCTCCAGTAGTTGTGTGGATAGCACTCCGGTATGCCATAAGAAACAATGGTATATGACGATCCCAATCCCGTTGATTTTCGTCGACTACTTTAGCCAGATGTTCAATCAGGGTTTGGTTAAATCGTTCCACCATACCGTCAGACTGTGGGTGAAGAGGTGTCGTTCGAGTTTTGTTTATACCCAGCAGCTTGCACATTTCACCAAACAGTTGTGACTCAAAATTTCGACCTTGATCTGAGTGGAGTTCCAATGGGACACCATATCGACTAATCCAATTGAGTACAATTTCCTCAGCGACGGTACATGCTTCTTGGTTGGGTATTGGAAACACCTCAGGCCATTTGCTGAAATAGTCCGCTACAACCAGAATGTAACGGTTTCCATAATCTGATACCGGAAAGGGTCCAGCAATATCTATAGCAATCCGTTCAAAGGGGACACCAACATTGTAGATTTGCATTACTCTTTTTAGCTTTCTTTTGGGTCTTTTGACTGAAGCGCATGTGTTACATTTTCGACACCAGCTCTCTACATCTTCTCTAACGTGAAGCCAGTAAAATCCTTCTCGTATTTTGTCAAGGGTCTTGTTCACTCCTAAATGTCCCCCAGAGGGGCCGCCATGCATTTAATCAAGGATTTCGGTCGTTCTACTTCTTGGTATTACAACTTGCATGCGGTGTTTTGATCCATCAGCTGATTCCCATTTTCGTTTCAGCAAATCCCCTTCCAAATACAAAGAGTCCCACTGAGCCCAATAACCCTTTAACACGGCACTATATTCTGAGATGCTTTGCCAGTCCGGTCGCTTGCCCTCCTTCTTCCATGTGATCAGATGTTGTAGGTCCTCATCCGCAAACTGTGCATCAGCAAGATCCGTCGGTGTCCAACCGTCATCCGCTGATATTGTTGTTGCTCTTATGTCTTCCGATTGTATTTTCTCCTCGTGACGACAGCAATATTTGCATCCTGGTAAACATGGTCGACGTGAGAGAGCATCAGCATTACTATGAGTTGTTCCTTTGCGGTGCACGATCTCGAAATCGTACATTTGTAAACGCTCCAACCATCGGGCCATCTGTCCTTCAAGATCCTTGAAGTTGAGGAGCCATCTTAACGCTGCATGATCAGTTCGGAGAAGAAATTTCTGTCCATAAAGGTACTTGTGGAAGTGTTTTGTTGCATTGACTATTGCTAGTAACTCCTTCCTGGTCACACAATAGTTTCGTTCGGGCTTTGTGAATCCTCTGCTATAATACGCTAGCACCTTTTCTTCTCTGTCTATATGCTGTGACAAAACGGCTCCGATTCCGTTGTTACTTGCATCAGTATCTAACACAAACGTCTTGCCACAAACT